AGGGTAGAAAAAAAAAAAAAAAGTTGCCCTATCAGAATTGGTTCCCCCATGGTTGCAAAATTTTTTTTAACATTTGCCTTGTTCCTAGGGGAAGAGAGAGAATAATTTTCCATAACAAGACATATTTCAATAGTTGGTGGAAGGGTAAAGTTTCCATGCCAAAGTGAGGGCAGGAAAAGGTCCCCTCTAACGTTTACTTTTCAAGTTGTTGTGGGAAAATCAACTAAAGTTAAAGTGTAAAAAAAAAAAAATAAATAAATAAAATAATTGTGAAAAATGAATATTGTCATGTTCAAATTTATAGACCAGTAACAAAGACTTGTTAATCGTTATGTTTTAGCCATCTTTATTTCTTTACTTGTGCTAAAGTGGGGTGGAGGAGATTAAACATTAACCAATACAACATGTATTTGAGCTAAGCAGGAGAACTCACTAGAAAAAGGTTGATTGAAACAATACTGATAAGGATTTGAATCCAAATTTATCAAGTAATCTCTAATTTTCCCTGTCTGTAAGCCATTAATGATAGAGAATAAGGAGTTTTAGGTTTCAAAATTAGTGCAGCTTAAGTGCTAAATGTTTAGGCCATTTTCCTGAAACATCCTAAATATTAAATTGTTTGGAAAGTAATGTCACTTTTTTTTTTTTCTTTTGAAATTGAATAAAAAGAAAAAAAAAAAAAAAACGCATTCACACCCAAATTTATTTGTCAAGAACATAATCTTCATTAACAGTAAGCTTTGATACATAATTCCTGTTGACAAAATCTAGGTTTCTGGACTAAAATAATTCTGAGAGTGCTTATTTAATTCCAGAGATCTTACTCATGAGTGTTCCAATGAGCGGAGTGAATGGAAGTTTTTAAGTGCTATATCTGCTGAGTCTGAATATGGTAAAATATCGTAGCAGCTTTTTCCTTTCTTCAGATTAGTTTTTGATTATTGCCATTTTTTATTATCATCATCATTCTGTTGTATACTCATTTCCTTCTAGGTCCCAACAGGACTAAGTTCAGAAATGGCATTAAGACATTTTCCACTGAACATTTTTGAAAAAATAAAACCACCTAAGAACTCGCATTTTATATAGATAAAGTCCTTTGTAAGGTATGAGTTGTGCTTGTGAGAACGAATTTTTTTTTGGTACTTTTTAAGGCATGGGCTGCCAGGGATCCCTTCAATGAGTCTATCAAAAGTTTTTCTAATCAAACCCATGATCTCAAACACAACCGGAATTAATGTTGTCTTCATGTACCATACATTTGAGATTTCCATTTATTACTGTTCCAAATTATACTTTCTGTAGAGGAAAAAAAATTTATTTTTTCACCCTTTATTCTTATTTGATTAAGATATATGTCATCTCTATTTTTGACTAATATCAATGTCATCTAAGCAAACCAGAAGAGACGTATTAGAAAAATTACTCAATGATTTGGGAAATTAACTTTGGTGGGAAATAATCCCCAAAAACAATCCCCAAAAACTTAAAATTCCCACATTTTTGAATGAATGAATGAATCTGAACAGTTTCAAATGTTAAAAGTCAAGGCTTTTTATTAATCATTTCAGCAGTTGAGAATACAAGCTCTGCATTTGAGAATATTTCTGTTAGAGAATAAACTAAGATTTAAGCATTTACATTATTTAAATTTGGACTGATATCCTCATTTTTGTTGTTACAATCACATTCAAGCTGTTATGTACACTGGCTTTCTACAGGTATTTGTCTATCTGGGTAATCTTCAAAATTTTGAACCAAACTCTTTAGTCTACAGAAGGAGCTTATTCTTGTTCTGCTGCCCATGTTTAGGTATCGCTCATGATGTTTTTTCTTTGTTGTTTGTTTTTTTGCTGTTTGTTTTTTTGCTGTTTGTTTTTTTGTTTTTTTTTTGCTGTTTGTTTTTTGTCTTTTTTTTGTTTTTTTTTTTTTTTTTTGCTGTTTGTCTTTTTTTGTTATCAGTTCAGCTATGTGCCATGCATGATACACACTTAGGCAATCATGTATCTTTCGATACACTACTGATGAAGCAAACTTTTTCTACAGTAGTAGACCAGTTGCCATCCAAGGCTATAGAACCTAGTCTGTCCTGCTATTTACCTATAGCTGAGGGGGAGAAGAGGATTCATACCTTTCCCAAGTGTATTAGCACATAAGTGAATGTGATGGATTTGACTGGAATTCGAACTTGGCTCACTGGTTCCTCAATCCAAGCCACTATCCATTACTCTGCCATGCCTCCTAACATATAAGTGATATAGACACTCTTAATGCAAACCGAATAAGCAATAACCGAGTGGTAATAAAAAAAAAAAAAAAAAAAAAATTTGGTATCCCAAGATATGGGCAGTAGAACAAGAAAAAATTTACCACTGTTGATGAAAGTGTCCAGTTCAAAATTTCTTGAAGGTTATCTGGATCAACACGCATCTGAAGAAGGGCAATAAGTACAATAGCTAAAATGTTGTGATTATGACAGGGAAAATGAGGACCTTGTCTCAAAGCTAAATAATGTAAGTAATAATGCTTCCTCCAGAAAATCAGAACAGAAAGATTTTTTTTAAAAAAATTAACAAGTGAAGAATTTGGGTCTTCCAAAATCAAGTGTGGTGAGTGAACACATAGTCATGAGCAGACAGTTGAAACAAGAATAGCTTTTAAACTCATTGTCAACCTTGACAGGAGAAAGGGATGATCAACTGATTGTTTTGAAGTATCATCAAGTCATTGGTAACTACTTGCCCCTTTTGTTTCTAACAGTTTAATATGGAAATCATTTATTTGTATTCTGTCAGACATAAAACAAGAGAAGCAATACAGTTATGTCAAATATTCATGATAAATTCATTATTTGATGGCTTTTTAGTTTTCTTGTTTTGTTTTCTTTTTATGTATTTCTCTTGTTCAGTTTTGTGACAACAATGATTTTATTGTTTCTTATGTTAGATGGGAACCGCTCGTGAATACTGGGTACTTTAAGCAAAATCTACTACAGTCAAAATTTGTGTCGGCTTTAATTTTCTCCATACCTCATTCTCTCATAAAGTTTCAATAAAAGTGAAACGTGTTAAATTTTTAAACGTTCCCTATTTGTTCTTTATCACATATACAAGGCTGGCTCAAGGTACTGTCAACTCAGGCAGTCACCTGCCATCATGCCACTTGGATCTTCCAGATCTAAAGCTCATAAAAACATAGTTGTAGTTGTCTATGACTCAATAGAAAATGATATTTTAAAGAAGATAGGTATAGAAAGTGCCATTAAAAGATTTGGAGATCTAAAGTTCACAAAAAAAAAATGTTTTATGTGGGATAATGAATATTTTCTTTAGCATGTATTAAATTGTCTATTGTAATAAAGTTGATTTTCTCCTTTTGAAAATTTTAAAAATTATACTTGCAGAGGAACCAAAGTTCAGCTTGCTCTGGGTGCCAGCAGCCCTATGGCCATTACTGCATATGCAATGTGTAACAGCAAAATTGCCAAATTGTTAGATTAAGCTTTGAAAGGATTAAAGATATCTTACTGAAATTTCCCAAGGTTTTTATAACGTTATTGGACTCTACTTTGAGCAATAAGAATGTATAATTACTCTACAGGCTTAACAGAAGAACTGTGATAAAATTGATCATAAAAGAAATAACATGTTCATCATTAATGAAAGCTCATGAAATAGTGAAATAAAGTTCAATATATTATTCCAGGCTCATTGTCCAACTTATTCAAGATGATTTTTGCTCTGTCTAACCTAACTTTCTGTCCTGGAGCTTGAGTTGGATCTTTTCTAATTGATCTCTTTAGCTCTAAGTTGAAATGATGATCACCTCTTGTTGTGACCTCCTGATCCAGTTTTTCTCTCTACTGTTTCCTCTTTCATAAACTTATTCACTGTTCTCTTGATGGTTCTTGAATGGACTTTGAAGATGGAAGCCAGAGTATGAATGTTGGTACTATTACTGAAGGCCTGAATGATCTTTTTCCTCTCACCATTGCTCAGGAAGACAGTGAGTCTGACACAATACGATTTTAAGCTTTTCTCTTTGTAACTGAATAACAGAAAGGGTTTTTCAGGTTTTTAATGGTATCAAGATGGCTAAACATCTTATCCAAAACCCGTGAAAACAAAAAAGAAACTCAATTAGTTTAGTGGTTTTATAGATGCTAAACATTTTGTGGGATGGACAATTATGCTGTAACACAATTTAGACAATTTTGCTATTACGCCATATATATATATATATACATACATACATACATACATATATTTATTTTACATTCAACATCAGAGGTGTTGAAACAAAATGGCTATTTTTGTAGTGATTTTATAACATATTTGTTATAATTTATTTATTTATATATATATATATATATATATATAATCTGATAACCATTCCCTAAGCTGAAAAAGCAATATAAAGTTTCTGCTTTAAATAACCAACAAAGGGTTGATAAGCTGTAAAAGAACAGACTAATCACTTCTTTTTAGTATAGTAACACTAAAACAAATTGCAGAATTTATATATTGATTAGTGCTTCTTCCTATAAATATTCACCCAATACAAGGCTTAGGAGTCACTCAGGCTCATGGGTTACAGTCAAAATGATAATGCTGAATAAGATATACTCAAGTTGCTTAAAGATTTTAAGCTTGCATCTAAAGGTATTTCAATGTAATTAAACTGACATAAGTGATAGAAATCTTGGCTAGAGTGTAAAATGTATTTGGTAACTTTTTGTTTAATTTTATGCCTTTTTTTTTTTTTTTTTCAGCTGCGTCATATCATTGTTTAAGATTTAGTCGCATTTTCATACAGTTGCTTATACAAATATAAAAATCAAGTACACATCACGTACTTATAAAATTAGAGTAGCAATATTGGTGTTTACTCCATGACAAAATTATTATTGAAAAGGACATTTAAGCAATTGTGCTAAATGTATGAAACCAATAACATTTAAGCAATTCAACGATGCTGCTGAATTTTATCCAGAAACATTGATGGGTAAGTGAAAATGATATGCTTATTTAGACAGAATTGTATGAACCTTCTCTTAATTGCTGTTGGAATTTTGGGGTATAACTGGTACTAGTGAGCCAGCCAAAATGAGCTGACCCATTTTATAGTTCACCAATAGAAGGGTTAACAAATCAGAAGGCTCAAAATATTCAATGTGACTTGTATAAAGGCAGCCATGTTTTTTTTCCAAATATTCACGGCCAGCCTTTGATATCGAAGACTGAAGAATTACGGAACAACTACTGGTGGTATTGGCGATATAGTCAGATTCAGTAGAGTGTCTGATTCGTGAGTGTTAATCTTTAACATTGTTTCATTGAACAGATTACGTACTGTGCTGTATTCTATGTTCATAGACTATGGTGAACATGGTTAACAGCTGTTGTTCACTGATCCAACCTGACCTGGGGTGGTAGCACTTGTTAGAGTTCCAGCTATAGGAAAATAGTGTTTTGATTTCTGTTTGGTGGTTCACTAAGAAAGTATTAAAATACGTTAGAGCAAAAATACCAGCTATATGACCAGTTGTAATACATCTTTATAGTAAAATATACCAGCAATACATTTTATCATCTACAAACTATATATGTAAAAAAAAAAAACATGTTTTCCCTCAATGTATAAAATTATGTGCTACATATCTGTAGTTGAAGCCATAAAATTGTGTACAAAATATTTAGATATTTACACTATTCAGACTGTTGTCCTCATCTTTGTTGTCATATTTGTGATGTTTAGGCCATTATATGCTCCACCCTTCTTTGGGTGATTGGAATTTTGAACTGAACCATTTATTTTGTCAAATGGGGCAGATTATTCTAGTTCTACTTGACATGCCTCTTCCGTATATCAGTTTCAGTTATTTCCCTTTTAGTAACTCAACTCTCCCAGTTTCTTTTTTCTTCTTTTTTCTTTTTCTTTTTTCTTTTTCTTTTTTCTTTTTCTTTTTTCTTCTTCTTTTCTCTTCTTCTTTTCTCTTCTTCTTTTCTCTTCTTCTTTTCTCTTCTTCTTTTCTCTTCTTCTTTTCTCTTCTTCTTTTCTCTTCTTCTTTCTCTTCTTTTCTCTTCTTCTTTCTCTTCTTCTTTTCTCTTCTTCTTTTCTCTTCTTCTTTTCTCTTCTTCTTTTCTCTTCTTCTTTTCTCTTCTTCTTTTCTCTTCTTCTTTTCTCTTCTTCTTTTCTCTTCTTCTTTTCTCTTCTTCTTTTCTCTTCTTCTTTTCTCTTCTTCTTTTTCTTCTTCTTCTTTTCTTTCTTCTTTTCTTTTCTCTTTCTTCTTTTCTCTTCTTCTTTTCTCTTCTTCTTTTCTCTTCTTCTTTTCTTTCTTCTTTTCTTCTTCTCTTCTTCTTTTTCTCTTCTTCTTTTCTCTTCTTCTTTTCTCTTCTTCTTTTCTCTTCTTCTTTTCTCTTCTTTTTCTCTTCTTCTTTTCTCTTCTTCTTTTCTCTTCTTTTTCTCTTCTTCTTTTCTCTTCTTCTTTTCTCTTCTTCTTTTCTCTTCTTCTTTTCTCTTCTTCTTTTCTCTTCTTCTTTTCTCTTCTTCTTTTCTTTCTCTTTTCTTGGTCCACCTCTGCTGTGGCCAGGTATTTACATTTCCATATCAAATAACCCATAGAAGTTGATATGCTGCTAAACAAAAACAACCAATTATTCATAAGGGTAATATTAGATGTTTTACTTCACTCTTTGGATATTGAACTGGGATCAAAATGTAGTGTTGTATCTTTTAAAGAGGTTAGACAAAGGTAGTACTCGAGTGAAGGTACAGCAACACATGTGTGAATGAAAGAAGAGAGGTTTATTGTAAAAGAGAATACACTACTGAAAGACGGGGAATTGGGTAGCAGGCTAGTAATTCCTGAAGCAAACCCCCATGTATATCCTGTGCTCACTATATATAGCTACTGATATAGTCAGCCCACATAGGCAATAGGTAATGTGGGACATTCCATTACAACATGTAGTATCAGTTCTCATTTCTAACGGTAATTGTAATATTAGCTCTTTCGTTAAAATGAAATAGTTGGCATTCAGGCAGTGCTATTTTTAGTAAAAATTATAAGATCTTTCTATTCAAAACATTTTTCAGAAAAATAGGTTTCTCAAGTCTGTTATTTCTCTTTCTAATATTGATGAGGTGGGGGCATCCTTAACATTTTGTTTGTAGTATAGAACATCAACATCCTGATTATATCATTATTTTCTCTTTGACTTACATATGCTATCCATTTTAGTTGTTGCTACTGTTGGAAGTTTGCATATGTAGTCTATTATTTGGTGAAGCTCTTTGAGATTCTGTAGTGCCAGTTCCTGAGGTTTAAAGAAGGATTTTCCTTGCTGAAACCAACAGGCTTCTGTGGTAAAATAGAATCAAGGAATTCTAACTTACCCATTCCTAAGAATCCACAATGTCTCAACTGCCTGGTTGGAGCAACCATTTTCAAGTTAGGTAAAGCATATACATGGTTCTAGCTTTCTTAAACTATTGCTAATCTGCATATGGTCAAAAACCTGAACAAAAGGTGAGCTATGCATATGAGCAGGGATTTTTCTACAGTTTGTCCTGTGCTTGACCAGGCTCACTGCAAATATCAGCTACAAGCTATTTCGGCAGATTGAGTTTCTTCCATTTCATCATGGATATAATATTCAACTATCAAATAATTCTAGTTTGATGGTGCCGAAACCTGGAAATAATCACGGACCTTCATCAATTACAGTTTCATTGACTAGAAACCCTTTTCAAACATTGATCTGAGAAAATGGTTATTTTCAGCTGACAGACATTTCTGAACTGGTTAGGCATCCATCCTGTATCAGTCAGTTATGTACCATATGTGATATATGACTGATGAGGCAGATTTTTTTTCCCGCAGTAGGTTGCCATTTCTTTCTGCAGTAGACCAGTTGACATCCAAGGCTATAGAAACCAGTCTGTCCTGCTATTTACCCATAGTTGTGGAGAGAAGAGGAGGATTCATACCTTTCCCAAGGGTAATAGCACATAAGTGAATGTAATGGATTCAACCAGAATTCGATCTCGGCTCTCCAATTCTTCAATCCAAGCCACTATCCACTGTGCATCATGTATAACATTTGTATTCTATTCATGTCCTAGATTGAAGGACATGACACTCTCACAATACTGTTGCTTATACAAATTTAAAAATCATGTGCACATTACATACTTGTAAAATCGGAGTAGAAATATGGACAAAAAATAAAAATGGGTATAAAAAAATAAGTATTGAAAAGAATATTTCAGCAATGGTGCAAAATGTATTAAACAATTTCACTCAAGTAATTAAATGATGTTACTGAATTTTACTCGAAAACATCGATGGCTAAAGACATGACTTTAGTTTTTAGGTTCATGTTTGGATTTTGAAACATCTTGTAGTGCTGGACAAAACTATTCCTAGCACACTTTTTTCTATATTCAGTATATTTATCTCTGGTTCTAAATTTGTTCTAATTCATACACAAAGACCATTTGAAGTGTTTAGAAAAAGGATACATTTTTTCCAAAAAGTACAAATTAGTTCAGCAGATGATCAAAAGACAAGTGTCATAAAAACCAGAAAAGAGTGATATGTGACTTCAGAGTAAAAAAAAAAAAAAAAGTCTTGTTTTATATGGGTTTACGCTAGTTACAAGTAATAGATTGGAAACTTTTGCTTCTGGTGAGTAAGTTGTTTAATTTTATTTTTTAGTGCGAGCTTATTAAAATTCTTGTTTTGCTGTAATTTGGTAGGAAAATATGTCTGCATTTTGTCCATAAAATTTCATTTTCAGAAATGCAATAGAATTTACATTAATGTTATTTAAGTGGAAAAATGTACAAGATTTTAAGTCTGTAGACTAGTATAGATTTCAGCATTTAGTCTTTCTATGCTTAGTAAAGGTGTTAGAGAATTCCCATGAGTGTAAATTAGAATCACCTCAGTATATAAGCAGCAGTAAGATTTTCAGCTATAATTGACTGATCCAGTTGGTATAAAAACAAGAATTTTCTGGAACGTTTTTGCTTTTAGTTTGTTCATGTTTTTTTGTTTTGTTTTTGTTTTCTTTTCATTTTGATTTTTTTTGTTTTTTTTGTTGTTTTTTGTTTTTGTTTGGCAGTTTTTGTTTTCCTCCCAAAATTATAAATATCGAGGTTTTATTTTGATTATTGTATAGCTAGTTCAGTCACTTCACTGATGGCAAGATGATCAAATTTCAAATCTAAATTGTTTATCCATTTGAAATGCATCTATTAGAAAATATTCATTTTAAATGCCAGATTTATAAAAATGACAGCATAGGACTGCACACTTTGGCTTATACACTTTTCCTCTTACCCAGGGATTGTCATTAGCCCCATTCAGGACAGATGTCAATTTCACTCAGATTGGGTGTATGCTTGTATATTTGAACTCTGACAGACATATAAAAGTACGATATTTCTATAAACACAGCCTCCAAGAGAAATTTTGCAAGTTAGGATAGAAACCATTTGGGGCCCTGAGACAGGCAAAGATTTTTTTTTTTTTTTTTGATTTATGGCCAGTAAATATACATGTAAACTCTTGTAAATGCATTATTTCCATGATCAGATATAACATAATCAATTAATGCAGCAGCATAAATCAGTATTTGTTATATTCACCAATTGCCTTTATAGATTTTGCCATAAAGAAATACTTTTTAAACGTTTATATCTTTAACTTTTTAACAATTGCAATATATAAATTTCTTTGTTTTGTTTTACGGCATATAAACCTCAATGTGTTATTTAATGCAGACAAAATTTTTATTGTTTTGTCAAAAATCTATTTTTGGTAAAAAATTTTTCCTTCAAAAATGTATAGCTGATAATAATTTTTTTCAAAATTATTCCTGGTAATAATTTTTTTTCCAAAAATGTATAGCTGGTAATATTTTTTTCTTCAAAAATATATTGCTAGTAATAGTTTTTTTTCTTCAAAAATTTATTGCTGATAATTTTTTTACAAAGTATTTCAGGTATTAAAACCCATTTTTACATTTTCATAGTGTTTTTACACCAGTTTCGGAGTTAACTATTTACCAATAGCTGGGAACCTTAGCAGGTGCTACCACTCCAGGTCAGGGTGGACCTGGGAACACCAGCAATTAAGAGGTGGTTCCATGCTCCTCAAGACCTCTTGATCAGAGGCCTTGCTGCTGGACGTAGTTTATCATCTTGCTCAGGATGCGGATGTAGTTTATCATCATACCCAGGACACACATAAAGTTCTTGCGAAACAAAATATATAAAAAGGCACATAATGATACAGAAATTCTCATTTGTGCTACTCACATCATTATACTAACTGATATATCTATGCATTTACCCTGAGCTGTAGGCAGATAGTCTGGGTGTTATCACATGTTTATACAACTAAACCTACAATAAATAATAATAAATACTAATAAAAAAAAATATGTGGTGTGATGTTTGAGTATGTGAATGTATGTTAAGCTGGGGTAGCAGAAAGTGCTTGTTCTCAATATGGAGGGTATTGCATGGTTGTTGTGGGGACCTTAGTTCTTGGGTATAATGAATGTCCTCAAAAACCCAGATCATGTGTGCCGTTTTCCAAGGAAAAAGTGTAAAAGCCAGAAGAAGAATATGAGAACAAGAAATGGTTACCTGAGTAAACAACATTCTACATACGTCCAAAAGAAAAATGAAGCAAATGGCCTGCATAAACTCTGATCGTCAGTGACAGTCTCAAAGTATATGTAAATTCTGAATGGGATTAACATTACACTATACATTATTCGATTATTTACATTATTCGAACTATTGTCCTTGCCGCCATATTACATTTCAGCCATTGTACACTCCGGCCTTCTTCAGGTGGTTGGAATGCCGAACTGAATCTTTTATTTCACTCACTGGGGTAGACTGTTCTAGTTCCACGTGCCATTTAGTTATCCGTTATCTCCTGTTAATTTTCCCTCTGAAAGTTCTCCACTGCCTTAACCGGGTATTGAACTCACACTCTTTGGGTCCTGTCACTGCATCTAACCAACGCCTTTATCCATTGTGCCGTGTGTCCTTGAGGACACATGGCACAGTGGATAAAGCTGAAATTTTGTAATGAATATGGCGTCAAAGATAAGGACAATAGTCCGAGTAATGTAAATGTACATAATACCTCATCTCTAAATATAGACAGATACTGAAAGGCCGAAACTTTGTAATAAATATGGCGACAAAGATGAGGACAATAGTCTGAATAATTTAAATAATACCTCATCTCAGAAATATAGACAGATATACATTTTAGATTCTTTAAAATGGGTAACTTGATTGCAGTCTTTGAGTTTGTCACAGCATTGACTGAACCCTCTTCTCATAGGCCCTGTCTACAAGAATATTAAAAATAACTCTATTAATGAATAATTTCTGAAAAGATCACTAAAATTTTTATTTTATTGCTCAACCCATGGTAAGTGCTGTACCAACTGAGGTGGAAAGGAATGTATTATTCCAGTGTCTTATACACAGAGATGTACATTACATTTGTATATGAGAGAGAATCAACTGTTCTTTTATAGATTTGCATGCTCTCTC